AAGAAAGGAAAGGAAGGAAAGGAAGGAAGGAAGGAAGGAAGGAAGGAAGGAAGGAAGGAAGGAAGGAAGGAAGGAAGGAAGGAAGGAAGGAAGGAGGGAGGGAGGGAGGGACAACAGAGAGAGAAAGAAAAGGAGGAGGGTCCTCAGAGGGAGGGAGGGAGGAAGGGAGGGAGGGAGGGAAGGAGGGAAGGAGGGAAGGCGTTTTGCAACTAATATAAAGGTCCCCAGCACGTGCTTTCCTGCTAAGGACACCACTAAGTAGACAGACCGCCATTAACATTTCACTCCCTGCAGCGAGGGGTCTGGCAGGAGCCTGAGCCAGAGGTACCTGAGATAGCTTCAAGGGAATGGTCTCTAACTGAATGTCACATTCAATTCGGGGAGTATGCCGGGATCTCAGCGGCTCCTTGGAGCAGTTTCTTTTCAAGAGGGCGGATGCACACACAGGCTCTAGGACGTAATGGTGACTGCGACTCTCCATGCTCCTGGCCATGGCCTCCTGCATGTCACATGAACATATGCTCTGTTCAACTGGCCTTCTTTCTTCCCATCATTCTACACAGTCAAGCTAAGCCACAAGCTGTGTCCTAATAGCAAATGTCATCTAACCCCAGCATGTTACATCAGAAGCAAAAAATAGCATAAAATTGCACCCTATCGAGGCACTGGTGGCTCACACCTGTAATCCTAACTAGTCTAGTCAAGGGGCTAAGATCTGAGGAGTGGGGTTCAAAACCATCCTGGCAAGGAAAAGTCCATGGACTCTTATCTCCAAATTAATCACAGAAAAAGTTGGAAGTGGTGCTGTGGCTCAAGTGGTACAGTGGTAGCCTTGAGCAAAAAGAGCTCAGGACAGAGCCTAGACCCTGAGTTCAAGTCCCAGGACCAGCAAAAAAATAAATAAATTTTAAAATGTTTCTTAAATTAATATTAAAATTTAAAAATTGCATTCTAAAGCTCTCTAGTGTTTTTTAAATGTTACTCATATGTCTTCATAGATAATGTATTCACATTGTTTAAAATTTTAAAAGGTAGCCAGGCACCAGTGGCTCATGCTTGTAATCCTAGCTACTCAGGAGGTTGAGATCTGATCATCAAGGTTCAAAACCAGCCTGGGCAGCAAAGTCAATTAGACTCTTATCTCCAGTAAACCACTCAGAAAAAGCTGGAAGTGGTACTATGACTCAAGTGGTAGATCACTAGCCTTGAGCACAAAGAGGCTCAGGGACAATGACCAGACACTGAGTTCAAGCCCCAGGACCAGCAAAAAAAAAAAAAAATTTAAGGTGAGGGCCTAGTATGGCAGCACACATCTATAATCCCAGCTGCATGGGAAATGTAGATAGGAGGAAAACAGTCCAGGACTAGCCCCAGGCAAAAGCTCTTATATGACAAATAAACTATAGAGACCTGGGGGTGTGGCTCAAGTGGTAGAGCACAAAAGCAAACCCCTGAATTCAAACCTTAGTGCCATTTAAAAAAAAAAACCTCCAAGGTAAAATGTCTCTTTCCTACTCTCATCTTCAGCTAAGCATTTGTCCTCCCCAATAATCAATAATCAATGTGCCCACTAGCTGCTGAGGACTCCACCAGAGGCACTCTGCACGTACTTGGGAAAACCTGTAATGTTCTGTTTTCTTACACAAATGCTGTAAAAGCTGTTTCATCTTTTTTTTCTTTTTAATGATTAATACTGCATTTCAAGAAATTATCATATGTTCATCACAAAAAACATTTTAATAGCTATGTGAGATTCTACTATTACCAGAATTCATTTAAGCAAATTAAAACCCAAAAGCATCTGTACAACAGCCTACATACAAGCCAAAGACAAACTTGTGTAGAGTTTTGAAAAAAGTGCATCTATTTTCTGCATTTCACTTAAATACCTATAATTCTTTTTTTCTTTTTTTTGGTCGGTCGTGGGGCTTGAACTCTGGGCCTGGGCACTGTCCCTCAGCTCTTCAGCTCAAGGCGAGCGCTCTACCCTTGAGCCATTGCGCCACTTCCGGTTTTCTAGTGGTTTATTGGAGATAAGAGTCTCAGGGACATTCTTGCCCAGGCTGGTAGTGAACTGTGATCCTCAGATCTCAGCCTCTTAAGTAGCTAGGATTACAAGCATGAGCTACCCACACATGGCAACACCCATAATTCTTTTACCAAATGATTAAACTAAGCACTGCTACCCTTCACAAAAAGAAATTTATAACTCATAACTTTCTAAATAGCTCTTAAAGGAATTCCACTAGAAGTGACTTTTATCATAAAATAAGACAGAAGAGGTCTCTTCAAGAACCAGATCAGGGGCTGGGAAGGTGGCTCAGTGGTAGAGTTCTTCCCTGCATGCATGAGGCCCTGGCTTCAATTCCTCGGCACCACATATGCAGAAAAAGCCAGAAGTGGCTCTGTGGCTCAAGTGGGTGAGTGCTAGCCTTGAGCTGAAGAGCTAAGGGACAGCGCCCAGGCCCAGAGTTCAAGCCCAACAACCGACAAAAAAAAAAAAAGAAAAAGAACCAGATCTGTCCCTCTATTTAAAATCTAGATTCTTTATAAATGGTGGTCAAAAAAAAAGGATAAATGTTGCCAGGTACTGGTGGCTCATGCCTATAATCCTAGCTACTCAGGAAGTTGAGAGCTAAGGATCATGGTTCAAAGCCAGCCCGGGCAGGAAAGGCCATGAAACTCTTATCTCCAATAAACCACCAGAAAACCAGAAGTGGCGCTGTGGCTCAAGTGGTAGAGTGCTAGCCTTAAGCTGAAGAACTGAGGGACAGTGCCCAGGCCCAGAGTTCAAGCCCCATGACCAACAAAAAAAAAAAAAGAAAAAGAAAATGAGTAACTATTATTATAAACTATAAGTGGAATGCTACATAGTATTAAGAAGTAATGAACTAGCCAGGTGCAAGAGGCTCACTCCTATAATCCTGGCTACTCAGTGGCTCAGATCTGAGGATTACAGTTCAAAGCCAGCCTGGGAAGATAGTCGGTGAGACTATCTCCAATTAAGCACCAAAAAAGAAAGCCAGAAGTAGAGCTATGGCCCAACTGGTAGAGCACTAGCCTTGACAGAAAAAAAAAAAAGCTCAGGGACAGCACCTAGACTATGAGTTCAAGCCCCAAGACTGGCACATGTGCATGAGTGCACTCACACACACATACATGCATATACACATACAAAAGAAAAGCCATAAACTAGCATCATAGACAAATCTTAAAAGCATAACTTTGAGTAGAAAAAAAATAACATATACACACACAGTATTTTTCCAAGTTCTAGACACAACAAAACCATGAAGCAAAGACACTTGAGAGCAGATACTGGTCCGGAAAAGGAGGGAGACAGGACCCACTTCAGGAGACAACCAGCAAGGTGGCAATCCACACCAATGTGCTACAGGGCACTCTTGCAAAAGCCTTGGCCCCAACCATACCTGTAACTCTGCCTGAGGCAAATCCCCCAATAAAGTGCAATCGACATCCCAGTAGATGCTGAACTCTGCCACATCTAATTGCTTTTTCCGCATTAATTTCTGTACCTGAGATAGGAAAGACAGGAGAGAAAAGAGGATGATTGTCTTCAGTCTTGAATATATGCACTCTTCCAACAAACCAGGTGTGAAATATCATGTGTCAGGCACTTGGTAAAACTGAATTAAAACATGGTTTTGCTCATACTTTAAAAATCTAACCAGCAGGGAATATAAATATGAAAACAATTCACTTCAATAGCATAGGAGCAACACAAGAAGAATATAAAGGACAAAAATGTCACTGCAGATTATGTCAAAACACATGCAAGCTTCACATAAGCCCTGCATGGGAAAGGACTGGGCTGACACAAAGGCTTCCTGTCTTCAGAGGATGGTTAGTAGATCTGTGTGACAGCAGCCTTAGTATGGGATAGTACTGCTGGTGCAAATGCATGCATAAGTATTTGGACTGGGGAGTTACTTAAGTAGTGAGAAAAGTAGTTTGGAATGTTCCTCAGGATGTTGGGTTGGATAGTAATCTATTCCTGCCTCCTGCCCTCCACAATAAGAAAAGTCCTGCCCACCCAGAAGCTGTTAATGGGTCCTTAATTGAAAACAGAGTCTTTGTAGACATAACCAAGTGAAAATGAGGCCACATTCTATGAGTATAAATCCTAATCCAATGAGCAATGCCTTTATAAGAAGAAAAGACCTAGAAAGGCCATGTGAAGACAGAGCCAGAGATGGTGGTAATGTATCTATTGCACAGGAACACCAAAGTTTCCAATAACCACAGAAGAGAGAGAGAGATCAGCTTCTCCTTGGGGCCGTCAGAAGGAACTGAAACTAGAGAATAGACCAAGTTGTTTTAATTCATCCAACTTACAGCAATGTGTTACAGCAGACCCTGGCAACAAGTACGCTGGAGAAAGGATGCTGATGTTTGAATGTTTTATTTATTTATTTTGTTGGTTGTAGGGCTTAAAGTCAGGGCCTGGGCACTGTCCCAGAGCTCTCTAGCTCAAGGTTAGTGCTCTACCACTTTGAGTCACGTTGCCACTTCAGGTTTTTGAGTGGTTAGTTGGAGATAAGAGTCTCATGGAAGGGCTGGGAAGGTGGCTCAATGGCAGAACGCTTGCTTTGCATGTATGAGGCCCTGGGTTCGATTCCTCAGTACCCCATAAGCAAAAAGAAAAAAGCCGGAAGTGGTGCTGTGGCTCAAGTGGTAGAGTGCTAGCCTTGAGCTGAAGAGCTGAGGGACAGCGCCTAGGCCCAGAGTTCAGGCTCCACGACCGGACCCAAAAAAAATAAAAAGAGTCTCATGGGACCTTTTCTGCCCAAGCTGGCTTAGAACCAGGATCCTCAGATCTCAGCCTCCTGAATAGCTAGGATTATAAACATTAACCACTGGAGCCCAGCTGAATTTTTCCCCCTAAGGAACTGGGGACTAACTTCAGAGCCTCACATTTACCAGGCAAGTGATCTACCATTTGAGCCATACCTATAACCTCTTTTTGGTTATTTTCAAGGTAAGTTCTCGGGGCTGGGAAGGTGGCTCAGTGGTAGAGCGCTTGCCTTGCATGCATGAGGCCCTGGGTTCAATTCCTCAGCACCACATAAGCAAAAAGAAAAAAGCCAGAAGTGGTGCAGTGGCTCAAGTGGTAGAGCGCTAGCCTTGAGCTGAAGAGCTGAAGGACAATGCCCAGGCCCAGAGTTCAGGCCCCATGACCAGATCCAAAAACAAAAAAAAAAAAAAAAACAAGGTAAGTTCTCACTGTATGCCTGCCTGGCCAGCCTGGGCTGTGAACTTCCCACTTGTGTTTCCCTGTATCATGACAGGTGCATGACACTATGCCAAAACATTGGTTTGAGATAGAGTCTTTAGAAGTTTTTTAAACTCCTAGCTATCAGGCTGGGAAGGTGGCTCAGTGGTAGAGCGTTTGCCTTACATGCATAAGGCCCTGGGTTCAATTCCTCAGCACCACACAAGCAGAAAAAAAAGCCGGAAGGGGCGCTGTGGCTCAAGTGGTAGAGCGCTAGCCTTGAGCTGAAGAGCTGAGGGACAGCGCCCAAGCCCAGAGTTCAGGCCCATGACTGACAAAAAAATAAAAAATAAATAAAATAAAAATTTAAAAAAAAAATGATGCTAAGCGAAATGAACCCCAAGATAGGGACACAAGAGGTTTTTAATCTTTGTTGCTGTTGTTTTCAATGTGCTTATAATGTACTATATGATTTTTCTGTTTTTTTTGTATGTTCTTCCCCCATGGTATAACCCGTTTTCATTGTAGTTGATTCCGGTACCCTGCATCTTGTATATACGTTTTCTAATTTTGGAAGGGGAAGGGAAATAACAAAATGCTGAAATAAGAATACAGGTTGACCCACTGTAACAATGAGATATACAAGACACTGTGTTGAAAACGAACTTTACAACTTGGGGGGTCAGGGAAGAGTCAGGGATGTGGGGAGGGAAGGGATGGTAGGGGAAAAACTAAGGAGGAGGTAACAATGCTCAATAGGAAATGGACTCATTACCTTACTCATGGAACTGTAACCCCTCTGTACAGTATCTTTACAATAAAAAATATTTTTTTTTAAAAAAGAAAAAGCCGAAAGTGGCACTGTTGCTCAAGTGGCAGAGCACTAGTCTTGAGCACAAAGAGGCTCAGGGACAGAACCCAAGCCCTGAATTAACGCTGCACAACTCGCCAAAACAAAAAACAAAAAATTTGAAAGCAGTGAGATGAGACAGGCATCCAAGCACGGCACTGGAAGGTGACAGATATCTCTGCATCTGGCTGTTCTCTTGTATGCTTTATAATAAAGTGAAGTCTGCAAACCATCCTGGCAACTTATCAAACCTGGCAACAGGTCACAGAAAGTGTGATATAAGGCTGGTCTATCAGAAGCACAAATTACAACCAAGGTCTTATGAATGGCATTTGAACTGGTGGTGATCTTTTGGGCCTGAATCTTAACTTGAAGGATTTTTACTAACTCTGGTCAGTATCAGAACCATTCAACATAGAACAAGCAATGCATGGTGGTGCACATCTGTAATCCCAGCACTTAGGAGCCTGCAGCAGGAGGATCTCAAGTTCAAGGCCAGCCTAGGCTAAAAAAGCCTTATCTCAGGAAAAAAAAAAAGGGGGGGGAGGTGAAGTTTTATAAAACACTACAGAGGCATACCATAATAAGTTTTAAAATTGTGAACATGAACATCAGAAAGAGTACAACTGAAGATGTGGAAAACATCAGCCAATATTCCAGGTGGCTGCTAGAACTATAAAAGAGTGACATATGGGGCTGGGAAGTTGGCTCAGTGGTAGAGCGCTTGCCTCTCAGGCATGAAGCCCTGGGTTCGATTCCTCAGCACCATATAAGCAGAAAAAAGCTGGTAATGGCACTGTGGCTCAAGTGGTAGAGCGCTAGCCTTGAGCTGAAGAGCTGAGGGACTGCACCCAGGCCCAGAGTTCAGACCCCACGACCAGACCCAAAAAAAAAAGTGACATACAAGAATAAGGAGAAAATCTTTTTTTTTTTTTTGGGGGCGGGGGGCCGTCCGGTTGTGGGGCCTGAACTCTGGGCCTGGGCGCTGTCCCTCAGCTCTTCAGCTCAAGGCTAGCGCTCTACCACTTGAGCCACAGCACCACTTCCAGCTTTTTTCTTTTTGCTTATGTGGTGCTGAGGAATCAAACCCAGGGCATCAGGCATGCAAGGCAAGCGCTCTACCACTGAGCCACCTTCCCAGTCCTAGGAGAAACCCTTTCTGTGCCTCACTTCCTTTATTTGCAAAAGGAAAGGTCCATAGCCAAAAGCTGGAGATTTTTTTTGGGGGGGGGGTCCGGTCGTGGGGCCTAACTCTGGGTCTGGGCGCTGTCCCTCAGCTCTTTAGCTCAAGGCTAGCACTCTACCACTTGAGTCACAGCGCCACTTCCAGGTTTTTTCTTTTTTGTTTATGTGGTGCTGAGGAATCGAACCCAGGGCCTCAGGCATTCAAGCCAAGCGCTCTACTACTGAGCCAACTTCCCAGCCCAAAGGCTGGAGATTTTTAACTACTTCCTTTTCTCAGCAAATTTTGAGTTGTATTGCCCACAGACAAGAAATATGTACCCCCCATTCCACTCTGGAAGTAGTAAGAAAGAATGCAAACTCATTTTACATAACCTGAGTGAAGAGAGGCAGAGCCCCACCTCCCAGACCCTGGCTTTCTCCCCAGATTTCTCCCCAGCTGTATGGACACTTCATACTCACAGGCTCATTCACAGCATTCTGCATGGACACATTCTTAATGCACACACCAAAGGCAAAGGGATGGGAAGGATTGGTCATGCCATCTTCAAAGCGTAAATGGACATCTTGAATGTTTAACTGCAAAGGTGAGAGAAAAGGAAAACACACTCAGCTGCTACAGGTGGAATGCTACAGATAGCAGCCAAACCACCCCTCCCACACACACAGAGCACTGGAGTAAATCACAAAAAGTCTTTTATACAAACGTAACACGCACATACTTGAACGTTAGAAGTTCCTAAGAGAACTGTCATCACAAACAGCACATGTATGACATTTCTTTGTGACTTCTGTTGTCTCAAAAGAAATCTACCACTGGGCAACAATGGCTCACGCCTTTCTTTAATCCTAGCTACTCAGAGGCTGAGATCTGAAGATCAGAGTTCAAAGTCAGCCTGGGCAAGGAAAGTCCGTGAGACTCTTATCTCCAATAAACCACCAGAAATCCCAAAGTGGCACTGTGGCTCAAGTGGTAGAGCACTAGCCTTGAGCAGAAAAGCTCAGGGATAGCACATGGCCCTGAGCTGAAGCCCCACAACCACCACCAACAGCAATAACAAAAATAGTAACAGAGGGACTGAAGATGTAGCTTGGTGTAAAGCATGGGCAAAGGCCCACAGCACTGGAGGGAAAAATGGCATAAATAGGGCCAATATATATATGGAAAGGAGATGCCAGTCAAAATCTCAACCATGATGGTTACATTAAAGATTTAGCTATTATCAAAAGAGACAGTGCTGAAGAGGCTGTGGAGAAACAATTTCCCACATACTGCTGGTGAAATTGTTTTGATAATTAATCTTGATCATCCATTGACCGGATTAAGAAATACCCAGGACACCCAGTGAGACACACCTGGGTGTGTCTGTGATGGTGTTCCCTCATAGTAGGTAGTAGGTCATAAGAACTCTGACCTGAAAATTGGGTTAATCCCCTGACAGATTATATTATGGTGGTATTATTGGACGCGGTAGAAGATAAGAGGTAGGCCTAAAGGAAGTAGCTGGGGCCCTCTATCTTACTCTGGTCCCTTCCTATTCACTTTGTTTCCTATCCTCCTTCCTTGCTTCCTGTCCAGCAGAAGTGAGCAGCCTCAGCCCACGCTTCCATTGCCATGATGCTCACTCAGCCTCACCCCTAGCTTGAAAACCAGGGCTGGCCATGATGGACTGAACCCTCTGACACTGTAAACCAAAATATATAATCCTCCCTTAGGTTATTTGTCAACTATTTGGTTCAGAAAAACCATTTTTCTAAGGATTAGAAGTTGCTAGGATGACATGACTTATGTATTCACCAAGCAACAGGTAAGCACCACCATTGTGAGTCTTCAATCTAGTTCCTACATGGGGAGCAGGAAGTGCTTCTCTTCTCCATTTCACCCTACATTAACTCTTACTGAAATAGATCCTTGCCAAAACTTTCAGAAAAAATAATCAATAAAAGCCAAAAATAAACAACTTTCTGAACAGAATTCAAAGCAGTCATCTCACATGTACCAATCTTTTTTTCAAAGTTATGTAAGTTATGAAACCATCATCCTCTGACTACATTTTGGGGAAACAGAAAATACCTGAAACACATTAGACCTAGGTTGCCTTGCCACTACAAAATAACGTTGGAAGTCAAGAGCATAAGCTAACTCTCATGACATTCATGAAAATGAGCGTGGCTCCTGATTCGATTTTTGAAGACAAAGCCCAACTATAATTAGAGTAGAAAACTTGGCAAGCAATCCCAGCACTGGATCTCATCAACTGCCACCAGATACAGTGGTGAGAGGCTAGACATCCTAGTGGACTGCTCACGATTTACTATGCAATACATAGACATCAAGTCGTCAACCTCAGATGAAGAGACTGAGACCAGGGAAGCTAAGTGATTTGACCTGGGAGCACAATCAGGAAGGCTTAGGTAACCTGGCTTCTGAGGAGACGAGTCCTTTAGCAAACAGGATTCCAATATTCAAAAAGAAAGTGCAGTTAAGGGAAATGGAAGTGAAACAAACTCCTACACACATCAGCTGAAGCAAGAAAAACCTGCACCTGCACCAGAGCCCAGGACTTGCTTTTCAGGTTTTCCCTACGGCAAGGCCTCCAAAACCAACACCTTAAGTGAGTTAACCCATAAGAAACAAGCAAGCTTACTTGCTTGAGTAAAACACATCTGAACTTGAGAAATCCCTTTCATGTCAATGCTTCATGAAAGTCACAGAACTCACTTCAATGTTTTCCACAATGCTCGTAACCACCGAGGCCGTCACCGAATACCAGTAGGACTCCCCTTTCTGCTGGCGTTCGTTCTGCAAGGAAAAGAACCAACGTCAGCAAACCTCAGTGCTGAGCCACTTGGGACATCACCACAACTGCCCCTATGACAAAAGCTCTGTGCCTTGCCTTCCATTTCTCTTCCAAGGCTTGAAGCAGTGCTTTCTTGCGTTCCCTTTCCAACAGCTTCTCCTTTTCATCATTGAAGTCCTGTATTTTCTCAGGGGCTCCAATTAAGTGAAGGCTGGAGATGGAGATGACCCAAGGGTCCACATGTGGGCGGTAAAAGGGGATCTGAAGGGTCACTTTCCCAATTAAGCCTGGGAGGAGAAAAAATTCTTGTTAAACGTCTGTACATCTTTTAGTTCTAGTTCTTAGAACTTTCCAGTTCACTTTAAAGAGCATGTATTACTTTTCCATTTTTTTATTTTGACAGCACTAGATTTGAACTCAGAGCCCTGTGCTTAGAAGGCAGGTACTTAGCCAGGTGCCAGTGGCTTATACCTATATTCCTAGCTACTCAGGAGACTAAGCTCTAATGTCTGCGGTTTCAAAGCCAGCCTGGGCAGAAAAATCCTAAGACTCTTACATCCAATTAATTAGCAAAAAGCTGGAAGTAAAGGTGTGATTCAACTGGTATAACACCAACCTTGAGCAGAAAGGGCTAAACAAGTGCAAGGACTTGAGCTCAAGGCCCAGTACCCACACATACATCAAAAACACAAAACAAAAAGGCAGATACTCTACCATTTAAGCCATGCCTTCATCCCTTTTTTGCTTTAGTTATTTTCAAATAAGTTCTTGCATTTTTACCAGATCCAGCCTAGACAGCAAACTCCTACCTATTCCTCTGAATAGCTAGATAATTCATTGCCTGGGCTGGCAAAAAAGATCAATCCTCAATCCTCTAGCCTTCTGCCTTTCAAGTAGTGGAGCTGTGTTACAAGGTGAGCTACAGGGACCAGCCACTCTATTTTTTTATTTAAAAAACTAACAGGGGGTTGGGAAGGTGGCTCAGTGGTAGAGTGCTTGCCTCACATGCATGAGGTTCTGGGTTTGATTCTTCAGCACCACATAAGCAGAAAAAGCCAGAAGTGGTGCTGTGGCTCAAGTGGTAGAGCGTTAGCCTTGAGCAAAAGAAGTTCAGGGACGTGGCCAGGCCCTGAGTTCAAGCCTCACTACCAACAAAAAAAAAACAAAAAACTAACATGGGGCTGGGAATGTGGCTTAGTGGTAGAGTCTGGTGTAGCATGCATGAGGCCCTCGGTTCAATTCCTCAGTACCACATACATAGCCAGAAGTGGCTTTGTGGCTCTAGTGGTAGAGTGCTAGGCTTGAATAAAAAAAGCTCAGGAACAGTGCCCAGGCCCTGAGTTCAAGCTCCAGAACCGGCAAAAAAAAAAAAA